CACTTTGTGATTCCAACAAAAGTGAATTGTAGTCCATGACCTATTATGCCAGAGTAGATACTTTTGGATCCTCACAAGATTTTCTTGATTTTGCTACAACAAGCTAATAATTTTGTCCATCAGGAAGTAAACAAGCAATACTTTTTCTGACCTGGAGCTAAATATTATCTCTTGCTAACTGCTGAAATTTATGTTCCTCTTAAAAAGCAGGGTCCGAAGATGACAAGTCTGTGCCTTTGCACTATGGCTCCAGCTTTGTGGAAGAGCTTGCCACCCTGGCTCTGCATTGACACTAGCTAGTTAGCTGAAAGCAACTGGGTTGAACAACGGTGTAAACAAGATGAGCCAGGCATAGGATGTGACAGCAGGAGGGTTGGATCGCTGCCAACTTGCCCAGTGTAGTGAGGGGAGCCAGAGTGGAGTGGGGCCAGCCTGTGTGCAATCGCTGCTGTAGCTTCTACCTTCTCAAGGCTAAGATGAGCCTGTCTTGGGGGCCGTGAAGTAGCAGTGACCTGACTCCTACCTTCTGTACCCCTTCTGAGGTTGCCACATCCTTGGGTTCCTCTGTGGCAGTGGTCCCCAACCTTGCCGCAGAGCAGTGGTCCCCAACCTTGGGCCTCCAGATGTTCTTGGATTCAACTCCCAGAAATCCTGGCCAGCAGAGGTGGTGGTGAAGGCTTCTGGGAGTTGTAGTCTAAGAACATCTGGAGGCCCAAGGTTGGGGACCACTGCTCTGCGGCACCCCTTGTTGTGCAAGCCATGTTATCACCAGCTCCCTAGTCCAAGGAGGAAGTGTAGACGGAAAATGTCACCACTGGGGCTCTCTGTTGGGTTCAGACAATGAGCAGGCTGATGGGCTTTGTAGTGATCACCAAATAATGGATAGCAAAGAGTCTCTTAGCAATAAAGAAGTCAGCCACACACACAGATGGATGTCTGCCAGCAGTACTCCTGGTGGGCGACTCAGCAAGGAAGCAGAATGAGAAGTCTTCTCCGTCTGAGACGTTCTGCCCTCTGCGATGTTCTGCTTGCCTGCCCCCAGGAGACTGTCCTTTTATTAACATTACAAGGTCACAGGTAGTGACAGCATTACAGATAGTAGACAGAGTTCAGATAGGACAATGGTTACATCATGTTATTAGGGTTGGTCTGGAGAAAGGCAATTAATCAAGCCCTCTGATTGGCCTAAGGGAAGGGCTCTATAGCAAGCTCTCTATGATAACGAGAAAGAAGAGGAATGGTGGCAGCTCCTCCCCTCAGAAGCAGCCACAGGATGCTAGGAGAGGTTTCCCTCACTATAACACCCATGTGGCTTAGCAGCCTTGGGAATGGCACCCCCACAGCTCTCGAAGAAGAAGGCCCACTTGCAGCTGGGGCAACGTGAGGGGCACGGCCTGGGCTGATCCCATATAAACAGTCTGTTCACAAATAGAAAAAAACTAACTACTACAATCTCAATATCAAATTTCCCTGGTAACAGTTATCCTGGTAACATCAGGAAGAAAGTATGTTATTGAGATGCTTCAACACCACTTCTGTATTATTTTTGCAACAGAGATGGTCAATGAAATTGTTATAGGGATAAACATGGAGTGAATAAACCTTAGTTTTTTACATCTCACAGGATGTCAGATGGTCAGTGTCATATTGGCAGGATTGTGAGACTTTTTATCAAAGAAGTAACTTTTCCTAGCTTTGCCACCAATATACTACTGTATGACCTTCCATGTAAGCGTCATGTTAACCCATTGATTTTTATTAGTATACCCAGTGGCTACTCTCAGGATTTGGAATGTGCTGCCCCAAGAAGCCAGGTTGGTTCCTTCCTTGTTGTCAAGCAAAGACTCCTTTTCATGCAGGCTTTTAAGCAATGAGTAAGGGTCTAGGGAATGCTGTATTTATTAAATTTAGAGATTTTTACATACTTTAAAAATATCTTTAAATTGGTTTTCAATCTTGGTTTTAATATTGGCTAATATTTAATTTTTAATAGTTTTTGCACAGTATTTTAAACCTGTGAGTATTGTTTAGTTTTAATTGTTGTGAGGTGTCTTGGTTCCCCTATGCTAGGTAGCATATAAATAAAAATTTAAAAAATAGCTACTAGCCTCAGTCTAATTGATTTTTCCTGGTTTGCTTTGTACGAATGTTTTCTTACCACCTTCCCAGATATTTTTACATTTTTAAAGCTTACATAATCATGGTCTGACTAAGCAAGTGAGAAGCTGTCACTAAGAAAAAAGGCCTCCTCTCTGAAGTGGATTCCTTTTAGAGCTGGAACAGCAGTTATTCCTGTAACTCAACTCCTTGCCCTTCACAGTCACAAGTTGTGAAATTATCTGCCAATCTCCTTTCCAAGCACACCAAACTCACCTTGCTTCAACTTAGTTTCCTGCAAAGCCTTCTTGGAAGATGTGGGCTGTAACTCATCTCGCATGCTGGAATTTGAAATTCCTTTCTTAAAAATTCCTGCCAAAATAAAGTTTCTTTAAAAACTGAGGCTTTAAAATTTGGGTTGTGGTTGCTCTTTTTTTATATAATTGCTGTTTTTCTGCAGGACTTTGCCTTCACATTCACACTCAGAAATACTTCACAAATTTAAATTTGTATCTTAGACTGATATTGAAATTATAGGAGCACATGTTTTTAAAAAAAGACATTCATTAGCACATTCATTCATAGAGCAATTAACCACCATACCAGATACCTGTGGGAAAGATATGCAACTATGATGGGTCCAGCCCCAGCTGCCTGATATTCAAAAGCAATAGCATGTGGGGGTGCCATTCGCAAGGTTGCTAAACTGTTGGCTTAATCTACAGTAGAGGGCAAACCCTCCTGGATGATGTCACAGCTGCTTCTGAGGGGCATGACTGCCCACCGTTCTTCTCCTTTCTCATAGGTCCTAGAGAGCTTGCATAGAGCCTTTCCTTAGGCCAATCATAATGACATGAGGTAACCATTGTCCTACCTGAACTCTGTAACCTATCTTTATACTGTCCACTATCTGTAAGCTTGTAAGGTTAATAAAAGCACAGTCCTCCAGGTGGCAGAGCAGAATTCATTGGGAGTCCATTTGGTGTTATTCTTCCTCTTCTACTAGTCGGCCGCCAGGAGCACTGCTGGCAGACATCCCTGTGTGCGGCTTACCTCCTTAACTTCTATCTCTAAGAGACTATTTGCTATCCTAATTATCTGGTGATCATCACAAAGCCCATCAGCCTTCTCATTTTGTGACTCCAACAACAGCACATTCAAAGAAGGTATGGAGGGGATAAGTACAGTATACTGTTTTACAGGAGAACTATACATCCCAGAGACTTCTTGGAGCATAATTCTCATCTACAACAAAACATACTTTGCCCATGTGTCTTGTTTTAAAACTTCAGTGCGATTTATTTTGCTGTAATGCCGTCAAATGTGGAAGGTCACCTGCAGCCACCATGCGGCCCATCCCGGCCTACTGAGACTGGGAACAGCTGTTCAGGATATCAGACAGATTTTCCCAATCCTTAAACAAGCAGGCGAAGATTTTTCTCTTCAGGCAGGCTTTCTGTGAGTGACTGGCTGCCTGAGTGGGGTTTTTAAATGCATTGTTGTACGTACTTTACTGCTTTGAATGTGTTTTGGTGTTGCTTATGTTTTTTTGTATGGTACCTGTTTGGTCTTTTTTAGTATTTTTGTACTAGCTGTTGTTATTTTTAATACATCTTTTAGTGATGTAAGCCTCCTTGGGTCCTTTTAAGGACAAAGGCAGCCGGATGAACAGTATAAAAGCCAAATAAATAGAAAATAAAACATCTCAGGGTGGCACAGATTGAACTGGTGTCCTTTCCAATGCTTCAGATAAGACATCTTCAAAAAGAGGCACTGTGAGAGCCTTATATTGGCTCATTTATTGTAGCATTGTGGAGTGCAGTTTTCAGCCTTGTTGAATCTACTTTGCTTTGCTAAACCCCAAAATACATCAAACAAATCGGGTGCAAAACACATGTAAGTGCTATGAATGGCAGGCGTTTGCTTGCAGGCAGAGAACTAAAGCCAGGATGGGATGTAAGAGACTCCATATGTCCCAGTCCAAAGCATGCCCACCTATAGCTACAATTTTTTTGTATACAGAGTGCAAAGTACTGAAAAGTGCCTTGTATTATAGCCTGCATTCAGAGATTCACAATTAATGTGAAAACATCTTTAATGTGGCCAGATTATGGGAAGCTTTGGGACTGAGGAACCAAGAAAAGCTCTGGAAAAATTTCTCGTGCAGACACCTCCTATAATCACCCACCCTGCTGTATGGTGGATTATGGGAGTTGTAATAGAGGAAAAGCAGCTTTTAAAAGTCCAGAACTTGGCTTTAATGTTTGCAGATGCTCTGTTCCCACCTGAACGTTACTCATTTGGTAAGCAAATATCTGCATAACCTTTTAGAATTAAAGGACTTCTGAGCCTAAGAATTTGTCTGCACAATCAAACAGTACTTGTAGTCCTTTTCCACAACAATCCATTTCTGGTTACCCTAAGTTTCCTAACTTTAGCAAACAAATTTAAGCAGAAAGGTCACTGTCAAAAACATACATCTTTGCAAATTTACAGCAAATCCCATAGAGATTTCCCAGTCTCTCTCAGTCTTGTCTGGAAAGATCTGTGCTCAGACACTAAGCTATAGCTTTTTCTGAAACAAGAAAATATTCCTCTTCTAAGTAAGGAGAGCCAGCAAGACACAATCTGGAAAAATTACTTTTTTTTTACACTTGAACGCCCCCAGAAATATATCCATTGGCCGTGTTTGTCCGAAGATGCTGGAGATCGTAGTCCCAAAAAAGCATCGTATCTAAACTCTGGGAAAAGAAGGTGAAACGGGGATACGTTTCTCTTTCCGTCTCTTCTATATTGCATGCATCCTTGAAGGAAAGATGCCATTAACCTGCGCTACACAGATCATAAAAGTGGTGGCGAGGGCGTGGATGTCTTACTCGGACTACATTTCCCAATGTTCTTTGGTGAGAGCGCGAGCCGCTCCCGGAAGTTGGTGTGCGACTTCCTTTTCATCAGAAGGACGGCTTCTGAAAAGGGTCCGTCCGAGGAGGCCATCGGGTTCGTTTCTGGTGAGTCTCTACTTAATTTCCCCTTGGCCTCAATTAAGCCCCCGGCTGCCTGGGTCCGGCGGTGCCCGCGGGGTGAGGAGAGGAAGGGCCGGTTCCCCACGAGGGGTTCGGGCTCCGCACCCCGAGCCGAGTTAGCACGTTGGCTCCTTGGCGCTTGAGTGCATTTTAATTTTCCATGTTTTGGGGGGGGGAGGAGAGTGCGTATCCCTTGCCTAACGGCCCGTTCCCCTAATTGTTGCAAAGGATTGTAAAGGCCACAGGTCAAATCATCTGGAGAAAGCCCTTTTTATCTGGGGAGGGAGTAACATCGCCGTTTTCGTTCCTGGCGACGATTTCATTAGTGTGGAAGTCATCAGGGGTGGTAATGCGTGGTGCCCATCCTTTGATTTCTGTGGAATCTCATGCTCAAATAGGCTCCTTAAAACCGTTTCGGAATCGATTGAGATACAGTAGAAATGCTTTCAGGGCGTCTGTTTAAAAATCATGTGAGTTACTGCAATGTTTGTTAGTTTATTATACAAATTGCATTTCTGGCCTGTTTTCCTGCAAGGAACTCGATGTTGTCCCTATTTTATCCCACAACAATTTTGTAAGGTAGGGTGGGATGAGGGGCAAAGTTGGATTTAAGATCAACCAGCGAGTTTATAAACTGAGGGGGAGATTTGAGCAGGGTTCTCTGCAGTCCTAAACCTGAGAATCTGGCCTTGTGCTTTTCCGTTTAGACTGGAGAATCTGTGCTTGCTTCTGCCTGAAGGTAAATGTTATGTTCGCAAAAATAACTGGATCAGCAGATATGCTCTTGGGAGACTTTGGATCAGGTCTAAAAGTGTGCATCTGTGCACAGATTAGCTTGGACAGAATGTGTTTGAGAATGTTATGTTAGAAAGTCTGGTGGTTAAACACCTTCCTAAGAGGCCAATAGACCTTTATAGATCTTTAGGAAAAATTGGAAGCCTGTGATCAGTTGTGTAGGGCCTATTAATCAAGACAAAGATGGTTATGCCATCCCACAAAAAACACCTTTGTATAAGAACTTACAGTACATGCAATGTAGCCTGGTTGAAAATGCCAGTTTTAAATATCTCCAGACAACAGAATTACAGCAGATTGGTATCATGGCTTCATCTGTAATTTTTTTTGGGGGGGAGGGGGTTGGTGAGATACTTAGAATTTTTGTCTAGAGAGCCCTAGCACTCTCCCCATAACAGCAGAGAATTCAACTTTAGAGCCCAGAATTGCATAGGATGGAGCAGTTAAGCAGTTTTTGTTCTCTGTAGGCAAGTAAGTACATAGGAGCTTCAGTGTATGAGCTCTGTGGTCCTGGTCCTTGTACACAGCCTGAAGGCAAGGGTACAGATTTTCATCAAACTGGGCGCCTTAGAGCTGTGATGGTGCAGGAGAAAAAACCCAGGGAACTTCAAAAAAGAATGACCAGATATCTGTACCAGGTTCAATATTTCAAAATGGGTACTGCAAACTCAAGGTTTCAGATACTGGTTGGAAAATCTCACCCAGTCTTGTTAGATAGAGGGCAACACAAGAAGTTGAAACCTACACCTCTAATTTGAATTTATAGCACCCAACCTGTCACAGCCATGATTTTGGATCCTTTATGAGGGGGAGGGGTGCCCCATCCAGAGTTCTGTGGTGCCCAGCCTGATTGAGTCTTATACAGGTAGATAATATTTAATCAAAAATTTAGTGGTCTTAAAAAAAAAAGAAACCCACTCTTGCCTTCAGTTTATGATGTGTAGCTTAGGCTTTTTTTTTTTTGCTCACTATTATTTTTATCATTATAATCTGATTAACCCATAGCTAGCTGTCTTTTTCTCTGTGTGGAACACTTAGCATGAAAACCATATACAGAAATAGTTGTGAAGCTGTGAACTTGGTTCAAAATCCCATTCAAGGCATTTGTTTACTCCTTGACTGAATGCAATGAATTTGCAACACTATTGTTAATACAGTAAATGAATAATGGTGTTGAAGCAATTTGCTGTGTTGTGTCTCAACAGCAATATCTTGTGGCGGATTTTGGTAAGGAGGCTTGATTCACTCTGGGTCTCAGGGTGGTCTTGGGAAACCCTCAGACTGTGTGAGTTGCTAAGCATTTTGCAAATTAATGTGCTTACATTTGTTCTGACTTGGATAATACTTTGAATGCAGTACCTATACTGCATATTGCTCTAGCATCCCCACCCCCTTCACTTGGCTAATTTCAGCTTTTGCAGCCAAAGGATATAGACAGGGTGCTTGGACAAGGGATCTGGTACTTTTGGCTGGTAATGTCTGACTAACTGAGATGGGCTGCTTAGATCTGGTAAAGGGTAATGAGGTGGCACCTACCTAAAATATACATCCTGCCTAGAAATGTATTTGTACAAGCAGTTCCTAATCTCCTGCTTTAGAGCAAGATGTTCAAGAGCATCCTTCCCTGCCATAGCATCCTCCAGATTGTTGACTTCAGTTATCATCAGATCTAACCAGAATATCCATTGGCTATGCTGGGTGGGGATGATGGGAGTTGTAGTTTAAAACATCTGGAGGATGCTGGGCTTGGGAAGGCTCCTTAGATGTTTAGAAGGCTAGAAGCAGACCAGGATGAAATATGTTTTGCATCTATTCTGCTTTCTTTTTGTGCAAGATTCAGTGAGTTGTATTTGTGAAGGACTAGAGTCGTGCTCGAGTTGTATTTGTGAAGGACTAGAGTCGTGTTCCGCTTTACGATTGCCCCATTTGATGACAGATCCGCTTGATCGCTTTACGATTGCCCCGTTTGATGACAAATCCGCTTGACAGGTTTTTGCGCTTGCTTTTGCGATTGCAAAATGATGGTTTGAATGGGGTTTCCCGCTTTGCGATAATCAGTTCCCGGGTTTTCAAAATGGCCGTCAGGTGTACAAAATGGCTCCCCGCTATGTTTAGGAGCCATTTTTCGCTTTACAGGCACCCAAAAATGGCTGCCCCATGGAGGATCTTCGCTGGACGGTGAGTTTTCAGCCCATTGGAATGCATTGAGGGGTTTTCAATGTGTTTCAATGGGGTTTTTAGTTTTGTTTGATGACGTTTTCACTACAGCGATTTCGCTGGAACGAATTAACGTCGTCAAGCGAGGCAGCACTGTATATATGAAGCAATTTGATTACTGCTCAGCAGTTGCCCTACTGTCTACCTAATATTTCATTTTTCTGTTACTGCATTTATTTTAATCTGTATCTGTATAAAGGTGCCCTTTCTACTCAACCTAGAAATGTTAGATAGAAATATTTTAAGTGAATGGTGGAAGGAGAAAGAACAGCTGGCATCAAATAGGGAATCTGGAAAGAATAGCTCTCATATCTGGTTGGGAATCAAGAGGAACAATTTTTTACTATCTGTTAGATCATCCTCTCCTCTGAGTTATGAGGGGGTGCTGATAAGTACTGAGCCTTTCCCAGAAAAAATTGAGCTAGGAAGCTGTGACTGCCACACTATTCTACATATTCCCCCAGGATGTCAATCCACTTGTGACATCTGTCCTGCAGCTTCTTAAGTCCCTGCAAATAAAATTCTTCCGACTGCTGGTGTAACCACTCATTTGCAGCATTAGTTGCCTCCAGAGCACTCCCAAATCGGTGTCCCTTTAGGTGTTTTTTGAGTTTGGGGAACAGATAATAGTCAGAAGGAGCCAGATTGGGAGAATATGGTGGATGGGACATCACTTGAAAGCCTAAGGACATCAGTTTTGCCATTGTTTCACCTGCAGTATGTGACGAGGCATTGTCATGAAACAGGATGACACCTTTGGAGAGCTTTCCTCAATGTTTATCCTTGATGTTTTGCCTCACCTTTGTCAATAAAGCACAGTAATATTTTGCAGAACTCCCTTCTTATCCCAAAAAACTGTTGCCATTTGCTTCTGCCCCGACCTTTGCACTTGGAACTTTTTTGGCCTGGGGGAACCACTGTGCCTCCATTCCTGAGACTGTTCCTTTGTCTCAGGATCATAGCAGTAGATCAATGTCTCATCACCAGATAGCAGTTTGCCAGGAAATCTGACTCATTTCTTGCAAAATCTTCCAAAACACCCGCCAATGACTCCACACGTTTCCTCTTTTGTTCGGTTGTCAAAAGTTTGGGGATCCTCTTTGCTGCCAGCTTTCTCATTTCCAAGTCATTGTGGATAATGGCACAACTCTCACATGATATTCTCAGATATATAGGAATACTTTTGGATGATAGTCAGCGGTCCTCCATGATCATGTCATGGATGGCTTTCACATTTGCAGCCACAGAGACAGAAACAGGCCTTCCACTGGGTTTCTCGCTTTCAACATGGAAATGGCCAGTTTTAAAATTGACAACCCAACGTTTAGCTGTTTCATATGAAGAACCACTGTCACCCATAGTTTGTGACATTTCATCATGGCTGTCCTTTGCACCTTTCCCTTGGAGAAACAGGAACTTGATTATGGTCCTATGCTCTTCCACATTGAACTTTTCTGTAGGTGCTGTCATGTTCACTTTGGACCTGAACGTGAAGGATAAGTTAAAATCATAGGTAGCTGATTTTTGCACCGTTGACTACAGACAAATTGGCCAATACACCCTGCAAGTTATAGCTTCCATGTTCAGTTTTTTCTGGGAAAGGCTAAAAACTTGTCAGCACCCCCTTAAATTTTTCTAGGAAAGGCTCAATACTTGTGAGCACCCCCTCATATACCTGTTTGTATGCTCAAGAGCACACAAACACACACAAATATGGTTCATAAATATTTTGGTATCTTCTTAGTGTGAAGACTGAGAAGAACTTTCCGTCGGTACAGTTAAATTAATAACTTCTCAGGGAAATTGCAAAGTAGAGAATTTGTCTTAGCTGAATATTGGTAATGAAGCATTCAAGTTGACTTATGATCTGTAAACTTGTTTAATATCTTTTGGCTAATGCACTGACAAACCTTTGGCTCCCAAACAGTGATGAAACCAGGACTGAGGTACTCAGGTTCCCTCTAAATGCTACTTTGAAATGACTGCTGCTTTTTTTGTCAATATGGCTATAACATCAAGAAGGGCTCTTTCATCTAGTACTTCATGGATACGTTTGGCATCTTTCACCAGGCAAAGTCTTCTGTCTAGTAAGTACTACAGAAGTTGTGTTTGTCCATTTTTACTGCCATATGAGACTCATTGATCTCATAGCTAAGCTGAGCTGGACCTGGTTAGTACTTTGATTGGATACCATCAGCAAATGCCAAAGATCTCCAGGTAGCACCTGGAAATATTCCTGCCTCAGGCTCTGGAAAGCTGTTGCCACTAGTCAAAGCAGACAGTGCCAGACTAGAGGGACCTGAGGTCCGATTCAGTATAGCAGCACAAACTACTAAAATGCCTGTTGTTTTTGCAAAGGAGCAGGAGCCTTTAAGTTGTAAGATACCCTTCAGAGATTCCTAAAACCCGAGTGCTTGGGTTTTTCCAGCATTCTCTTCATGCAGCAAGAGCCTGCTTTGTGCACAAAACAGACCACAGTCCTGAGTAGCTTGGCATAGAAAGGAAGAGCCAACTTTCATGGAGGTTTGCTTCCTTTCTCGCCCTGCCCCTCATTTTGAGGGCTGATTGAGAAGGCTTACCAGCTGAAGAAGAAAGGCTAAGAAGATGATAAACAGAAGCCCTGTACTTGCTTTCCCCATCAGCAACTTAACAGGTTGTGGCTCTGCAGTGTAGCCCCCAGTGCAGAAGGAGAGGTTAGGTGGGGGTGGGGACATTTTTTTACTATCAGTCAGAACAGTGGTTCTTAACCTTTTTGAAAGAAATGCCCCCCTGAGCCATTGAGGAAGTTATCATCGCCCCCCTCCCTGAGGTGATGATATCTTACCTACCTACCTACCCTCCCTCCCCACCCGGGTGCGAGGCAGCGCTTCACAGGGCGAGGCTGAGGACCCAAGAGACACTTTCCTTCCACTTGATCCACACTCAATGCTCCCCTAAAGGAGAAAGGCGAGACGTGGCAGGTAGAAAGAGCTGGATCATCTGGCGGCAGCAGCAGCACCGGATCTACTGCCACCACTGCGGCTGCAGTTGCCTTCACAGGTTTGGCTTGCTCCAGCGCCCCCCTACCGCCCCCCTTCTGTTCTTTTGCCCCCACACCGCCCCTTTTCGTTCTACCGCCCCCCTGAAAAATGAAATCACCCCCTGGGGGGCATTATTGCCCACGTTAAGAACCACTGAGTCAGAACACACAAACACACACCAAGCTGTTCCTTCCTGCAGTCTTGAGAGCAGATTCCTGTAACCTCATGCCCTCTAGGTGCATCAAATTACAGTTTGTCATTCCTCAGCTGGCATGCCAGATGTTGTAGGAGGACAACAGTTTGTAAGTGGCTGCTGGAAAGAGAACTCGGTCCACCTCATCTTTCAAAACTGTGACACTTTTGCCTTGCCCCAAGGGAGTTCCCTTCAGAACAAATATGTGCATTACTTCCTAGATTTAAAACATGGGTTTGGATGATTGTTTCGATTTTATGCCCACTGTGTTAAGAAGAAATCTCGCATATCACCGGGTTATGCTGATAATTCTTCCATTCTTGCTATTTCCAGATTCAGCTGTGTCTTGTACTTGCTCGAAATCTACATATTCAGCTCTTCCTGATGACTATAACTGGTATGTATTAAGCCATTGTGATTTAACACCAAAAGCTGGGCATTAGAATGGCTGCTTTGTGTTAGAATTAAGAAAATTATCCATTGCATTGATTTACTTGTAGAATACAGTACTTACATTTGAATCATTCATCTCTGACACTCAAAATGTTTCTGGGAGTGCACTTTTCAGGATTCCTCACCATTGGCTATGCTAGCTAAAGCTAGTGAGAGTTGCAGTCTAGCCATTTTAGTGTTTGTTTTTTAAAAAGTAAAATACTTCTATATAGCGGATGGTTGAAGCTTAGGAACAATGATCACCTGAAGAATTATAAACAAGGTTTTAGTATGTCTAAATTGTAGATCTCATTTGTGCAGATCTGCAGTGGAATATGCCTCAGGAGGACTAAAATGGCTGATCCTTGTGCATGCAGGTCATGAAAGAACAGCAACTATTCAGATACTTTCAGAAGACACTTTTAAAATAATTGTTTTACTGTTGAATAACTATACAGTTTTCCTATTTAAGCCTATAGCAGTGATTTGAATCATGTTGGCTTTTGTGCTGTTGAATCACAATAATGGCTTCCCATTGGCATTCCCCTTTTGTGGCTAGGAGCCCAGCAGTATATCTTTTGTGCACTGAAATTAATACCACACTTAATGCAGTTATTCTTCACATGGATGCAGATGATACATTCATAGTATTATAATCTCTTCAACAAGTGCATGAGCATTTCCAGGAGAGTTAGAAAGCCTGTGCCTTGCTGGCAAAGTACAACCTTGAAATACAAGCCTCAGGTTCAATCTGTGGTATCTCTAGCTAAAAGGGTATAAGTGTAAATACTTGTGAAAGACCTTTATCTTAGATCCTGGAAAGCTGCTACCAGTCACTTTAGATAGTACTTAGGCAAATAGAAAGTTACATGTGTTCCTATGTGCTGTATAATAATATAAATAATAAATATACTGTATGTGAAGACCTGTTACATAAGAAGAATCTCAATGCTCTTCACCTGCTAATTAAACTTACTTTCTCCAACAACTGAATATTAAATCTCAAAATCTATTATGACTGTTTGAAGAATTAATAGGAAAAGTATTGCTCTTTACAGTCCAAAATTCTATTCAAAGAATATTCCCAGAAATCACGATCATTTTGTAGATCATAGTACTTGAGATTGTAAAGTACTCTACTGGGAACAGATATTTATGCAGCAGTAAGAGCCATAGTACTTGAGGTTGCAAAGTACTGGGAACAGATATTTATGCAGCAATAAGAGCTAGCTGTGAAGTCCATGTGATAAGAGATTACACATTTAAAGAATACAGAGAATGCTAGATACCATTAATCTATTGGAACAATATTTAATCATATGAAAGAAATGTCAAGAAATATTGTATAGCTTCTGTTTGAGACATTTTTTCTGGATTTTTCAAATATTTCTATTTTGTTATGTCAACAATTTAACTTAAAAGAAAATGCCAGTGCCATCCCCTCAAAACAGCACAAAATATAAATGAGTGTTTTATTTTTTAGCAAAGTAGAACTTGCTTTGACATCAAATGGGAAGACGATCGTTATGCATCACCCTTCAGTGGATATTCCATATGAGCACACACAAGTGAGTAAAGCTGGAAAAAATTTTCCTGACAATCTCAGCTGATGAATGCAAGTCATTGTGTTATATATATTCTTTGGAGTTACCTGTTAGTATGAATGTGATTTAAAAGATACACAGAGCCCTTCTTGAAATTAATTTTGTCTTACTAGCGTTGTTAAAACTGTCGTTTTCCTCACTGAGAAGGCAACATATGCAGCTTGTTTAGAATCAGTCTGCTATCTTGGTCTCAGTCAATATTTTATACATCATTTTACCTTCCTATCTTTTCTGCAACAGCAAACAACATATTCCGATTATACCCATCTTTTAATGTATTTCCATATGTCAGACAAAGATTTGCTTAAGCAGATTGTTTTCCTTGATCCAATGAAAGAGACCCATGCTCACTTTTAATCTGAGTGAGCATTAGAGGGATGAGAAGATACCAGAAATTCACAAGGAGTAATGAAGATGAGGACTTCAAGGAGTTTGATGCTGGTGGAAGTATGGACAAAAGCAGGTGTTTAAGTACAGTGGTGCCTCGCTTAACAGCGATAATCCGTTCCAGGAAAATCACTGTTAAGCGAAAACATTGTAAAGCAAAAATAAAAAGCCTATTGAAACACATTGAAAACCGTTCAATGTGTTCCAATGGGCTAAAAACTCACCGTCCAGCGAAGATCCTCCATACGGCGGCCATTTTTGGTGCCTGTATAGCGAGGAATCCGTCCCTAAACACAGCAGGGAGCCATTTTAATTACCCGGCGGCCATTTTGAAACCGCCGCTCAGCTGTTAAATCATCGTTTTGCAAAGAATCGGTTCCTGAAGCAGGGAAATTATCATCACAAAGCGAAAAAACCCTATTTAGACCATTGTTTTGCGATCGCAAAAGCGTCGTCGTGAAGCGGATTCATCGTAATGCGGGGCACCACTGTACAGGCAACATTCTGTGGTGTAGGTCAAACAGAGCTTAATGTAGGTGAAAGGAGTAGCTTGGGTTGAAATGGGGAAGACTTTCCTGCCATAGAGAGCAAAGCAGACACAGGAGAAAGAGCAGGAGACAAATGGCCTTGACCATGAACTGGTCATTTTTTGGCATGCAATACTCACCACACTGCATTACTAGATGGCCAGATGACTTCTAGGTTTCAAAGCATTGCCCTAGCTCAGGGAGGCTTCCTCGTTTTCACAGAATCCACTGTAACCTCCTGAAGATGCTGCACACAGGATGTAGGCACCTTGCTAAATGAGAGGAGTAAATAGAGCCCTGAAAATCCATCAGAATTTTTTGTCACCACAGTTCTGTTCACAGAAGGTGCCGTCATCTAATTTTGGGGATCCTCCTACCCCATAACTCACCCCATTCAGCACAAATTTACAGCCCAGTAATGTACACCTAAATCCAGATCTAGTGCAATTATGTCTCTCAATGCCAGAGTTTGTAAAGCAATGAGTGGGGGACATTGCTGTCATGCCCTTCTGGTGAACCTGCAGGAAATCTGTGGCTGGTCACTGTTGAAAACAGGATGTTGAGTGAGATGAGTTTGTCTTAGCAGAGGTCTTTTAACATTCTTAATATTTCTGCTTCTTTCTTCCTGCCAGAGATTGAAAGAGTTCCTCTTTTGAGGTTCGTTTTTGACTTAAGGTTGCCTTAAGTCAAAAACAACTTTATATGTGCTGTAAAGTTGTTCTTGACTTACTTAAGGCAACCTTATGAGTGAGCAGCCTCCAACATGTCCTGTACTCAACAGGCCGGCTTCACTCTTGCAAACTCAAACCTGTGGGTTCCTTTAAGGGAGTCAGTCTGTTTCTTGTATTTGATCTTATTTCCCTGGTGCCTTTTTATAATTGGCTGGGAAATTTGGGGAAGTATAATCCAAAAAAGTAACCTTTAAAAAATTCTCTCTTTTATAATTTGGGATGGGTGTTATTCCTTGGCAGCCCATTCCACAAAGAGATCCAGTGAACTTTAAAGAAGAAACACATGATCAGGTGCTGAAATCAAGACTGGAAGGAGAAGAGTCCAAAAGCAATATGGGTCCTACCATTGAACAGCTTAGTAAAATGTTTTACACAACAAAGCATCGCTGGTATCCTGTGGGACAGTAAGTATTCTGAGAGTATTCCTTGAGTGAGAAGTTGGTTATGGAAATTATGATTTAAAGAATCACCATTTCTCAACCAGAAAATAATTCCAGGAATGGCTTACAATCCCTGCCCTTACATTTACAACCTTCAAGACGTGAAAGAGCTTGAGAGGGAAGAGGAAAAATACATGATGGTGATGGGAATACACCTGTTTGGGATCTGATTGTTTTCAGGTTTAATAGGAAGCTCTTTATACTGAAACAGACCAATGAAATATCTAAGCTAATACTGTCCGCCTTGACCAACAGTGGATCTTTAGGGTTATGCAGAACACTTCCTACCTGGGGACACCTCTGTTATTCCTGGTTATTGCCCATCTGAACAATAACTGATTAACTGCTTAGCTTCCAAACTCGTGTGCCCAGGGTAATATGGCAGCACAGTATTTTCCTTCTAGGCCGACATGCTTGTTACTCACCTGCTCTCTTCCCCCCCCCTTCCTGTTGCTGGTGTCCTTTTGCTTTCTATTCATGAGACTTTCTCCCATGCTTTCATGGAATTATTTCTTCAAAAAGCCCTGTTTGCAGTTGGGGAGCGGGAGGCTACCACTGAAAACTGGGTAATAGCAAATTAGCAAGAAATGAAAACAGACAGAACATCCCAGATTAATTTCCTCCTTATCAGTCTTTATGGATAGGTACAGGATGTTAACTATAGAAATGATGGTATAATTAATCAGTCTTAATGTTCAACTAGCACTAGAGTAGAGGTATCTAGTCTGATTTACTATGAAGACCTTAGACACATTTACAGAAGTCTGTACACAACACAGATTCTTATTTTTTATTGCCTGTAATGATTTTACTTGTGTTCCATGCTACTCATGAGGCCATTTATGAACAATGCCTGTAGTATGCCATGAGCACTCAGCAGTTTAGTTCCACAGCTTATTCACTGTAAGTGCAGCATACCCTAGACACAAAAGCCTTATTCAGGATATTTTTAAACATAACTAGCAAGAGAGGTAGAGGCCTAAAGAAGGACTTGTAGAATCTATCTCGTCTTTTGCCTAGAACAGGGAGTAGGATTTCCATAGAAATCTTGTTGCCTTTGGCTGACATGGCAACATTATCAGATGTATTTTGGTGAGTACCAATCCCTAGCCATGTTTCCAGCATCATTCCACAGTCCCAAAATAAAAAAAGATTAGTTTGCTGCTGAAAGCTCGACTTGCCTTTGTGCCCAAACAGTACTAGGAATTCTGGTCTGATGCATACACAAAGTTTCATTAGATCTATATGGAAATCTTAAATAATTGAGATAAATAAAAACTCTTTAGATATTTCATTTTTAAAATAACACACAAAAACATAAAGAAGAGAATGTAAAGAATAACTGTAGTACAAAGATACATAATGCATCAGTGCAAATGCAATTTCTCAATTAGAGTCGTCCCACAGATCAATGGGACATACGAAAGTTCACTTAACTCATGTTAATTAAATGGTTCTGCTCTAACTGGGATTAGCAATTAGATTTAGACCCTATTCTGTTAAAAAAGTATTTAAATAAACCTGCAGCAACACATAGATATTTAATGAAATTCTATATCTTTGTTGTTTTTACTTCTAGGTACCACACTAGACGCAAGAAAACTAATACCCCCAAAGACAGGTGAATGTGATGTTTGAATGTCATCTTTGCAGTCATGGAAGATAAGTAATGTATAAGAGAAATGCATCTCAGGACCCTAAAATGAAGTTTGTTGTTTAAAATGCTGAAGACATTTCAGCCTGTTAATGCATAAAGGGCTTACTCAGGTAATTAAAAAGTTATATAAAAATGGTAAGATGTTGTGTTGGTTCAAATACTTCTATAATATAAGGACTGACTCTACATAGTTCCTTAAATAAACATTCGCAGAAATTTCTTTCAGAGCCTCCATCTAATGTATTGGTGACCATTTTTACAGCTCTCTGAAGGCGGCCTCAAAAAATTAATAGGTTGAAACACTTTGACTGGCATTTTAAACAATAAGTATCATATTAATGTGTTTTGAGATCTTGTATCTGGTTTTTATTTAGATGATTTCACGTTTCTACTACCCATGGTCAATAGCTCCCAACATATGTGGTTCCGCAAACATGTATGTTTGCTTTATCTTCATTAAAGTGATTTTCTAATAAAAATTTACTTTGTGGTTTAATTTATTTGCATGTAGTAATTGATTTGCCATTTTCAGCTTGATACATAAAGATTTTGGCAAACAGGTCTATGAACTATTAGGCTAAGGAAAACAAAGCAAAGCTGCAGCTGAGAGATTGTCATGTTAAAAATGGAATTGAAATGGAAGGCATTTTTATAGTGACAGCAAGTTAAGAGAGAAATGTGTAGTACGCAGAACTGAGTACCTTAAGTTTCTAAGAGGCTGACATTAAGTAAGTGAAACAGGATGATCTGTGAAGAAATATTAAGCTACTTGTGGCAATCAGGATTACAAATTAATACCTGCTCCTGGAGGTTTCTTCTTGTGCCTGGCACTTGAACCAGCTCTGGTCAAACTGTATTTCTAGGACTAATTTACTCATCAATTCTATTAACTAGCATAGTTTCCAACAGGTAAAAATGCAGATTGTTGAAAAGTCATAGTAGAGCTGTAGCTATTGTAATTTACATGAGTAAGGTAAAGGTTCCCCTTGACATTTAGTCCAGCCGTGTCCAACTCTAGGGTGCAGTGCTCATCCCCGTTTCCAAGCCATAGACACAGGGTTTGTCCAAAGACAGTTTCCGTGGTCATGTGGCCAGTGCGACTAGACATGGAACGCTGTTACTTTCCCACTGTGGTAGTACCTATTTATCTACTTGCATGTTTGCATGCTTTCGAACTGCTAGGTTGGCAGGAGCTGGGACAAGCGACGAGAGCTTACTCCGTCGCGTGGATTCGATCTTATGACGGCTGGTCTTCTGACCTTGCAGCACAGAGGCTTCTGCAGTTTAACACACAGCACCACCACGTCTCTTAATTTACATGAGTAAGACTGATAAATTATCTGGTGATATATTACAGTCTTCTTTCTCATATATTGTCTGCCTAATATAATTCCATTTATTGCATTTATTGGAAAGTTGGATACAAAAATAGTATCATAAGGGAGCCTCAAACTTAAATATCCTCCTCTAAGTGCTATTTCTGCTTGTGGGTAACATTCAGTAGACCTCTGCTCTATACCTGCAATTTATCTTGTCAAGTCAGAGTGAAACAAGTTTGCAGATACATAATAGCTAAGAGATAAACAACTCTTGATAGGCACTTTAAACTCCACAGATCCTTTTTTCTGTTATACACAGGTGTTGAGGTTGATCTAGGTAAGTCCTGCAGCCCTTCTAAATAGAGATGCTTTGGGCTGATGGTTGTTTTTTTAAAGTGTAAATATCTTGTCTTTTTTTTTCTTCCAGTGCTACAGGTATGTTGGCTTGTATTCCCACCATCCCCAACTAGTATTGGGGGGTCATGTTAGTCAACACATCAGCAGACTGCTAGGTTGGAGAAGGATGATGTCTGTAAACCCTGCAGTGCATATATTTTTGTATACTGGCACAACACCCAGTTTTCATTAGTTAAAGCTAGCATTGTGTCATTCACTGCAAAGGTGCCTCTGGGAGGAAGGGTGCTGGCAACCCTGATTCACACCCTCACTTTTGAGCAGGTGGGCCAATAAGAACATTACAGTGCATCTATGCACTGCATATATATATAAAGGAAAAACAACAGAAGTAATTTTCAAAAACAAGACTAAAAGTAAACAAAGGGTGTGAGTAGAGCTAGAATGGTCCTGTGATTTGGTCCATTCTGGGGATGGGCTGTTTCCTTCTTTTTCCTGGCAACCACATGAGGTACAGGCAAACACAAACCAGTGTGTCCCTGACCCATGCTTACCGAAACCTTTTTGTTTCCCTATCAAAGGCTAGTGGTTTCTGGTGCAGGTAGGATTGCTTCCATTCAGCATTGTGATCACTGGGATCGAACCAAAGAGGATGGCTTAGGCTGTCCCTTTGCTTAAGCCATTTCATGATCTTGGGAAACTGAAAGTGTTCTCACAGTCCTCCATAGAGAGAGGGGGCGAGAAGAAGCAAAGTTGAAGGGGGGGGGAAGGCATTGTAAGACAATGCTGATGTGATATGCCACTTTAAAAAAATTGTGAAAGCTTCACATCTGTCCCCTTCCATGGAGGAGCAGGAAGAAACTTTCAGTTCTTCAAGATTGTGAAGTAGCATAATCAAAGCACTGAGGAGGGGTAAAAGGGGAGACGATGTTGTTTTCCTTTTCCCTTTCATTTCCCTTTAAAGGGGAAAAGAGGCCAAATAGGTTCACTTGAGGTACAGGGGAGACAATCCTTGAATGTAGATGTGAAGATCACCCCATATGACATACTACATCTCAAAATAACCCTGTTTAGCATGTCTAACCCAACCCAGACCAGACTAATTTGGCTGTCTAGTCACCAAAACTTATGCTATATATTGACATAAGAGAGAAATATGTCAGAGCTGAAAACAAACAGTAGAGAAAGAGTTAATAATAAATCTGGAATGGGGAGAACACATGAAGAACAGCAGCCATTTTGTTGCTTGTTGGTGATGTTGAGTCTTGTCTTCCCCAGTGGAGATACCTGCAGTACAGGTGGGATTTCCAGATTGTCTTTCATAATGCACTGCCATTAGTTTGTGCTAAAATGCGCTGTGACAAGTTTCATTCAGTTATGACCCCAGCTTTGCTGATCTGAATTGTAGTTTATTTATAGTGTCAATGCTTTGAACAGTGTGAGAAGTAGTATGTAAGTATTTTAAATAACAATATATTTGGCTCTGCCGTACAAGCAGATCTTACCAAATGTTGCATTAGTAGCTGCAAATGCCTGGTATTACTAGCAAAGGCAGACGGCAACATTGCTGCCAGTGGTTATCATCATCATTTTAACTGCATATTAGGCAACTGTTACATGATTACAGCTCCCACCAGCCCCATTTGGCATGGCAGTGATGTGGACTGTATAGCAACAGTAATGTTGTGGTTAGAGCATGGCACTGGGTAATGGGAAATCCCAATTCCAGTCTCCACTGAGCAGTGAAATTCAGTGGGTGACCTTGGACAAGGCATGCTCTTAGCCTGACACAGTTTATTTGTGAGGATAGAATATGAAAGAGGGGAAGCCATGCACACCCCTTAACTAATGAGATGAATGATGAAATGAAAATAGGAAATAACATGACTTCAGGGCACCTGGCCACAGGTAGGAAATGTCACTGTTGTTGCTGCATTGTCATGTGAACCACCAGAGGGCACTGCTGCACAAGAGTCCAGCTTTACTCGTGTGCTCAAAATTACCAGGTTCAAACAAGATAAAATGGTAGAGACTGATAGCCTTTTACTGAATTGACGGAACAAGAAAATAAATTATGCTTATTCAGTAACAGAATGGTTGCTCATGGGAAATGTGCAGTAGGCCCATAGGGATGGTGAAAGTGTCTCCAAGGGAATGAATTTTACATTTTCTTTGCAATAGAGTTTGGGGAGGGATACATTACATGCTAGAGTAGAGAACCCCAACTTATACTGTCTATGAATATCCACCCTGTAGGTGATGTGCACGTTTAGAATATTGGAAAACTATAAAATAAAGACTACCATCCACAATTAGTGTGTCTAATTCTAGAGGGGGAAGGTGACACAAAACACACCCTGGGTGCAGAAAGTCCCAAATTCAACACATAGAACCTCCACATAGGTTTGGAAAATACATCTGCATAGAACAGCAGCCTCAGTTATACCAAGCTAGGTACATGGATGAGCTGACTTTACACATGGTAGCACCCTACGTTTCTATATATTTCATGTGGCATAAGAATACATAATTCTGCACAGGAAGAGGCTAGAAGGCTGCAGTTTGTTGCACACTTTCTCAAGAGCAAGTGTAATTGATTCAGTGGGGTCCATAAGAAGAGACAAGTAGGATTAAAATGAAGTGCATAATCCACAGGTAGGTAACACCTTTACTCATACACTATTGAGGAATTACAGCTGGGATTTTGCCCTATGGATTTTGTTTTGTTCTTATGGATCCCTCTATGACCATCTCCACACAAGAATTGGAGGTTGTTCATGACTTTGTGTACCTTGGCTCAACAATATCTGACACTCTTCCAGATGTCAAGCTGGATAAACACATTGGCAAAGCAGCTGCCATGTTCTCTAGACTCACAAAGAGAGTATGGCTTAATAAGAAGCTCATGGCATATACCAAGATCCAGGTCTATAGTGCCTGTGTCCTGAGCACACTCCTGTACTGCAGTGAGTCCTGGACCCTTTGTGCACAGCAGGAAAGGAAGCTGAACACATTCCATATGCGTTGTCTCTGATGCATTTTTGGTATCACCTGGCAGGATGAAGTTCCAAATAGAGTAGTCCTAGAACAAGCTGGAATTTTTAGCATGTACAGTATATATTACTGAAACAGCAATGTCTATGTTGGCTTGGGCATGTTGTGAGAATGGCTGATGGTCGGATTCCAAAAGATCTCCTGTATGGAGAATTAGTACAGGGAAATCGCCCCAGAGGAAGACTACAGCTGCGATACAAGGACATCTGCAAGCAGGATCTGAAGGCCTTAGGAATGGACCTCAACAAATGGGGCACTTTGACATCTGAGCATTGAGCCTGGAGGCAGCAGTCCCAAAACCAGCAAAATTAAGGAGCTGGACAGGGGACAGATTGTATTTGTCTTCAGAGAGGAAGGGATTGTCCCTCTTGAATTAGTCTTCTCAGCCACACTAGACGCTGTTCCAAGACCTCTATTCAGAGAATGTTACCATAGTCTCAAAGGACGCCTACACAAAAATGGATCAAGGCAGAAATGTCCTGTTTGCCCTTGTTTTGTTCAGACTTCGTCTTTCGTCAGGTACAATGACAACAGTCAACGGGGGCAGTTCTTTGGCGTTCTTTGCATGCGAGTATGTACAGTACACATATGTCAAAATGTTGGCATCCACTTCTTTTTCTCTTAAATGTTTTATTTATTTTATAAACAAATGTCCCAGATTCCTTCTCCATATTATAAGGTATTCACAGGTTTCCGTTACCATTTTATTCTCTGATGTATATCTAAAATTGTTTTGTTTCCATTTGCAAGAAGCTTAAATTAAATATTC